AAGGATGATAGCTGCAAGGTATGATTTTCATGAGATAGAAGAATACATAAGTACCTCTATGTCTACCATATCCACCACTCTTACTGTCAGCAAGTTCCAACAGCTTTGGATTGATAACTTGGTTTGCTTCTTTCAATACCTGGATCAGGTCGTTAGCCTTATTTGAATTATTAGGTGTAAAAAAGGTATACGCTGTACCAGTTTTTTGGCGACGACCTGTTCGACCGATTCGATGAACGTAATCCTCCGAACAAGAGGGATAGTCAAAATTGATGACAAACTTGACGTCTTCAACGTCTGAAATAAAGCATATGTATTAGCTGTTAATCGCCAAAGGCATCCGCCTCCCAGACATCAGTTAAGATAGTAGTATAGCAAAACGTATATAAAATGTCATATTAAATATCTCAATCACTTATTTCAAAGAAATGTTTAGATTAAAATACGCTCTCCAAAAGGTAGTACTACAATCGTTCACCTATGTCACCTCAACTAAGAGTATCTTATAAATTTATTTGACTATGTATGTATCGTAAGCAAGTTTTAATATATAGGTATACATAAAAGAAAAAGAAGAAGAAGAAGAAGAAGAAGAAGAAGAAGGAGAAACACATACACAGAAAAAAGATTTACAAAGCGTTTCATTTAAAGGTTTCTCGAGGATAAACATTTGCTTGTAAATATTTGTCAAATAATACCATGAAACGAAATTTAATGAAACAAGAAAGAATACTATGTCTTTAGAGAGCGTTTTGACTAAAGTATAAAGTGCTGAAATAAATTTCCGCGCAAAATCAATCCTGGTTTCCTTTTCTGAAACAAAAATATCATTTCTTCTAATATGCATATCTCTCTTGGAAAAATTAATACTGTTTTAATTTCTGAAATATCCACTGATTTATTGCATTACAATAAATGCTATAAATTTATATATATATACAATGATGAATACTCAAATAAAATGAAACCAGAATTGATATACATAAAACCTTATTTGATATGATAGTTAGTATAATGTGAATATGTAATGACATAGTTATCATAAAGGATTCAGAAGGATAAAGGAAATGTAAATTCAAATGGCATAAGAGTGATATATGTGTGTATGTTTATAGAGATTTACGTAAATATATACATACACGTACAGAATGTTTTATAAAATGTTCAAAATTCTTGAATTAAAAAAGAACAAGACAGTTCTTGGTAATATTGTGTGATCATTAATCAACAACTTTCTAAATTTCTACATAATATATATATATATATATATATATATATA